GAACTAACACATAAACTAGAACTTTTACAACTAGATGCACTCAGGACTACACTACAGGAGAGAAGAAGTCGACATAAATAAATTTTATTCTACAAAATCATAACCATATCACTCCCGAACACGTATTTCAACTGATACCACTTAATACAAATTATTATCGCCTACGAAACCAAATCAACATCCCAACATATTTCTGCAGAACTTCTTTATTTTCTTCTTCTTTAATACCATCTACAATTAAAGTATGGAATCTAATCCATCTTTCTACAAGAAACTTACCTACTTTATCCTCTTTTAAAGGGCCAATCCCGATAATATTTTGGAGAATAAAATTGCCCAATCTTGTATTCAAATCCTTTAAAATCCCCTACCTTCGAGCCGAGCAACTAACTCAATATATGTGATACGTTTTCAAACAATGTAAACCCGGTGTCTGGATAAAACCAGATTTTTTTTTATAAAAATAATGTGTAGGTGATAATTACCTTTCGTTATCAAGTACAGCACATGGGTCATTCATTGTATAGACCTCTAAAGGAACGGGAATCGATTATAAGGTCCCCCAACGAAAATATTGACCCGAAATCTTAAAAGGGTTACGTGTCCGGATAATCAGTTTTGACGTTCACGTCCAAACGATTCAATATTTTGAGCTGAGATTCTAAGACAAGGTAAATACACCATTCCTCTATATTTTGGTGCTTAAATTTCACACGTACTCAGACTTTTATTTTTTAGACTCTGTTCAAATCGGGATAGTCCCTTTAAATCTAAACTCGGCTATATTGATTAAATATTACTTCCATCATACTACTTTTGCAGCAGCAAAAATCTAATTCACCATTCTCGCCTTAGATGCTCTTGCAATGATTTAAAAGGACATCGTTTTCTCAGGCATATTTCTGACAACCCTACATGCGATTGTGGTCACGTCTTTGAAGACTCTGAACATTTTCTTTTAATTTGCCCCTTACATTCAGATGCACGATCTGCGACAATATCAAAACTCCCAAAACTCGAAATTCTCAAAACTTATTATTCGGAACGAAAGACAGAAACAATTCTGAAGACATTTTTCTGCAGTACATAACTTCCTCTACATCTCCCAAAGATTTTGAAAATCGCGTATGAAAATGTATGAAATATAAATATTCTGGTTGTGGTTTGTACATATCGTGTATATAGCTATCTTATAATTTAATCGTTCCTCTACTTTACTTTTCCGCCGTTCTCCAATCCTGTTTCTGTGAATAAATATTGTTTAGAAAATAAAATCAACGGTTTGTTCACTGTCAGACACCTGAATACATCGCACTTGATTTGTCAAATCGGGAAAATCTACTATTACTCTATTACTTGAAACCCAGCAAATATGTCAATCGTTTAAAATCTCTTAAGTACATTTTACATAATTTTCGTTACTGTGTCGTCATCTGGAACATCTGGTTGCAGCATATATGGTACTGATAAGGTTACCAGCCACAGTGTGTTATATAAGGAAACCAGTTTTTATTACACAACAAACGAGACGCAGAAGAGATATATTCAAACTTATTTATACAATTATAAACGACCCGTATATCGACAAAAAGCGCAAATTACAATTTCCGTAAAACCAATGTACCTCAATACCAAAGTAAAAATTTTCATGAGTTAAAGAATACCACAAATTAAATGCAGACATTCAACAGCAGTTGCCATGTTATTTTTCGTACAAGGGTCCACAATCCAGGATGTTACGGTCCAACATGCGACAATATCAAAATAAACTAAGATCATCGGGATATAAACAAATATTTTAAACCGTATCCTTTAGAGGGGTCCACAAAAAGGGTTTTTTTTTGGGGGGGGGGGGGTTTGGGGGGGGGGGGGGTAGTAGAGTGTCGCGCTTCGACCTCTAGCTGGATGGTCATCTCTGACTTGCGGTTGTGATTTCGACCCCTGGTGTGGGCGCATGGTGTGGTGTCCTCCCACAAAAAAAAAATCTTGCGCATGCGCCAAGATAATAAAAATGAAAATAAGACAACTTGTCTGCGATATCACCTTCGATGGAAGCAGACGTTAAACAAATAAAAAAATGCGATTTATTTTGTACAATCAGGGAATCGGATAGAATGTGTGACCTAGTAGAATGTCCATAAACAAAATGTGGACGGACAGGGGGCGACAACAATATACGTCCGAAACATGCCAATATCGAAAGGAATCGAGGTCTTTGGGATATAAACCTATAATATAAGTCTCGTCATGTCGGGTAAAAATGGTGACCTGTAGAGTGTCCACAAACAGTGTGTGCACAGATACACGGACGGACGCACAGAGGCAACATTCCTCTTATGTTTCTACAGGGCATCTATCTAAAATGGTTTAATATAATTTTCAGAAGTTATTCCGCTCTGGCAGTGTAGTACATGGCTGTATTACAATATATATGTATCCGAAGTAATTAAACTGGACTTACTAGTCAGCAATCTGCTATGCACGTTAGTCTGAGCTGCACTTTATATTTCCAAAGATACTTGTGGTCGTCCTGGTACCATCTGCATATGGTTTAAATACACTTTTCAGTTCAATACTAGGACTGGGGCTCGCTGTAGAAGCACTAGTAAATATAGGCCTATGTGTAGTCGAGACAAGTACGTTCAATTTTGTTTCAAATTCACTGGCTGCCTGCCGAAGCAAATCAATGGGGATATATTTTATTTTAAAATCATATTAAAGCTTAACCCTAAAATGTAATTTATGACATTATCCACATCATATACAATAGACATAATCGCACAAAATGGTTAAGTACTTTTGTTAAATTTACCAATATGAACGTCAACAGTAAATGACTGCTAACGGGTGTTCCAGAAGAGCAGGTAAAATTTATTGCTATCACTTTACTAGGATTTTAAAACCAAAAGCTCCATTAACTGACTACTGGCTTCGGATTACAACCTAGTCTGGGACCTTGGACATGTGAGAGCCCAATCACGATCCGCATTTACGGATGCAACCCGTCTATTACTGATCCATGAAAGAAAAATCATGGAAGGGTTTGTAAGAATTGCTTTTGTATCCGAATGAACAGCGGCTTGAACGCTCTACCCGACTGGAAGGCTTATGGTTATGATCCATCGTTATCTGTTACACCGCAATACTTAAACAATTTCTGCAGAGTGGTACATTACTATTTGCAGCTGTTCAAGGCCACGCCTCCTATTTGTTTTAAGGATTTACACTTGTTTCCCGGGTGTCCGAAGCTGTGATTTAGCCGGATAGTTAGGGCTTCTCCTGTAACCCAAGAAGGAAACGTGATGTCGGTTCATCGACTCGGACTCGTTCTCCAAGACGAATCCCACATTCTCTGCGTTTAAGGCATTGCATCTGTATTTGTTGAAGGGAAGGGTGAAGATGGGGAGGGTGGGTCTGGCCGTCCCTGGTACCCGTGGTAAGAAGTTGAGCTAAGAATACTTTTGAATGAGTGTGTGGTCTTAAATTTTGAGGTGTGGCCATAAAACACAGAAGTTCATTTTCGTTTTATCAAATATCATAAGCGCATGTGATCTATATTTATGAAGTCATTTACAGTTTCCTATTTTAAATTCACGACACAAATCAGAAGTCGAATATTTACAATTAAAAGAAATGTATAATATATTGCTATTCAAAATAAAAAAAAACAGTATTTCATAAAACATAAAATAAATGACGACACTCTTTGTTAATTATCTGATATTTTAGTTGAGTTTTCAATGGAACCGTCTTTGTTTTATTCTCCTTAATTCTAATATAAATAAATCATTACTTGACGTTCTGTCGTGTTACAATTCAGATAATCTACAATAAATAATGTAATGGAATTTGGTTTAGGCCAATTCTTGTTAAAATAAACACAGACAGGTCAACATGAAGGTGTGAAGTCAGTAGTGACTAATTTAAATTGAAAATTGTCATAATTTTAAAAAGATAGACGGCCGGCTGAGGGTGAGAATAATAGAATTGAAATGAAATGGGATTTTACGTTCTACTTTTCTGCAGTTGCCAGAAGGGCATATGGAATTGTTAGCGCAGGCAGCTCCGCTACCGTCTACTATAGTATTATTTCGAATTCGAACTGTCAAGCTTACGTTTATGTGTACGGCAATGTGTACAAGGGAAATCTGTTGACTCAACACTCGTTCTTGCCAAGCCCTGTATCAGAAGTAACTTTCTCGGCCAACACCGGATCGAATTCGGAACCTCTAAGTTAGGACGTCAGTACATTACTCACCAAACCACCGCGGTCCTATAGGAAAGTGGGTATTTGTGAACCGCTTGTAAGTTCGATAAAACAATTAAAATCTGAATATCGATATGGTTTTTCTTTGTGATCCTATAGATAAACACCGCAAAGCTATAAAAAACTATTTTGCGAGTTGAGCAGTTACAAGAAATTGCAGAAACTTCCCGCCTTAAATTGTTTTAACATTGTGGACAGATGACAGACAAGTAGGCAGTTAATGTATAGAAGTAGAGAATTCTACTTTCATTTTATAGTTTTATTACGACTAGATGTAAATTATACTTTCATTTTGTATTTTTACTACCAGTGTATGGAAATAGAGACAATAATACGACCTTCATTTTGTAGTATTACTATCAGTATATATAAATAGAGAAAAATTGTACATTCATTTTATAGCTTTTCTATAGACATTCTAATACTTTTATTTTACAGTTTTCCTGGCAGTGTATGGAATTAGAGACAATAATTATATGTTAATAGAGACAGGCATTTCTACTTTCAATTTAAGATTTTACTAGCACTATTACAGAAACAGTCAATTATACTTTTATTTTATAGTTTTACTAAAAGAGTAATACATGTAATGTAAATGTAGACAACTAATACGACTTATATTATATAGTTTTACTATCAGTTATAGACTCAATTAACAAAGCTTAGATTTTATAGAAACAGACAATTTTTCCGTTTTATAATTTTATCACCGGTACTACAGGATTACAAAAGAATTATTAAGTTCATATTAACGGTTTCTCACAAAGGAAAAAACAAGGGAAGTCACAATTGTCATCGTTCAACACAAGATGCATCATGAATTGCAAACAATCTTCGTTACCATTGGTGTTATCTGGATTGCCAATTGACCATCCCTTGGTGGTTACATCTGATCCATCATCTATCCATGTAAACTCGCCTTCTGTAGTCAGATCATTGCCGCCAATCCAATGTTTCACGTCTACAGCTAATATAAAAGTACATAATTTAAAGGATAAATTGGTCATAATCGAGCAACAAATAATAATACTTTTCTGTACTGGAGAGTATTGCAGTATATAATAGTAAAGGCAGGCGGACCACACACTACACGCACACATTACCGAACAGACAATTTGGCAGAACAGACGGACATTCAAAAAAAGAAAAAAAACAAATATGAAATAAGTAGACCATTGCAACACACAAGCCGCTCACTTTTGTTTCATAAGGACAATATTGGTGTCAGTCATCATCACATATGTGATAGAACTGGTTAAACACGTTCCAATTGTAATATTAACACAGGGATCATTGCTACGATAGATGCGTTATGAAGATTTCAAGAAAGGGAAGTGACGAACGCAAAAGGAAAATACGAATTATCCTTCTATATAACTGACTGAAGTGACGAGTGATAACAGATACTCGGGCGAATGGCTGCCTTGAGCTTCCCCGCTCCTCTAGTGAGCAAACCAAAACCCGTCTCATTTATGTCATATACCTGAGTCAATTTACACTAATTCAGTTCATTACATTGAAAAAAAACCACAACACAACTTTATGGACAACAATCACTAGCAACTTTAATAGTGCAACGTTTCAACAAGTGTCCTCTTGTCGTTATCAAGCACAAGGTAAAAACGATAATATTACAGTTATCTAGTTAACTATAATTGTACCTGCATAAATGATATAATGAAATCAGATTATCTCACGATAAGCATACGTGTGACAGTGATCTGTACTTTTCATAAAATTGAACGGTCATTTAGGTGCATAGAACTTTATGAACTCTGCTAGATGGCCTGGCGCCTGGTACGTTCGGGCATTTTTATGCGCGAACTCTTAGGTTTTTTTTTTACTGGCACGCGCACAGGTACTATTTCTTTTTCTTTTACAAGTACCCAAATCGGGGATTTCGTGCGGAGGTAGTTCGGAGGTAAACAGTCTGTGAAGTGCAACATTTGCCCCTGTACCTGTGTATCGCTAATTATAAACCGAATGTGTGAAGACAGTTCATACATATCACTCAAAAAAATTTCAGTACAAACTCAGTTGATTCACGCTCGATTTGCTACTAAACAAACCCATCGGTTTATTTTCTCAACAGTGTGACCCGAAGTGACCGCGGATTTATTGACCTTGTATGAACTTATCCATAGCTATATCCTTACACCGAGAGAAATTATCTAGTCTCGGTGAAAAGAACCATGGTCATCTGGTAGAAAATTACTTTTGTATTTTTTGGAACGGAAAACAGTGTTTTTAGAAGCAAACGAACCTGCCGCACATGAGGAAGTCATTATACTAATAATAAAAGGCGAGACCTCTTTCTGCGGCGCAGGCTTATCACTGAGTAGTAAACCGTCCACAAACAATAATATAGGAAGCCTAGTGACGAGATTACTCGCTTTCAGTTTACTCTGTTTTTGCGATAACCAATTATGTGAGAAATACCATACTGACATTCGGTTTTTAAAAGTTGTACGCCAACTAAATGCGTTGTTAGATACTGACAGAGCAGCCCCGAGTCGAACAATCGCCGCCCGAGCTGTCTTCGTCAGCTAGTTTCACAATATCGTGCAATAGGTGTATTAATGTGATTTTTAGGTTTAACCCCGCAAACAATGCCAAAATAGTGTTTTCACTGCTTACAGAAAACTGAAATTTAAAAAAAAAAAAATTTATGAGGGTGACCCTCCCACACACTCCCTATCGAGCTGCCGCTCGGTCTGCGCAGCCTCATGCCTGGCACATACTGTCAACATTGTATATTTTTCCGTTTCCGCCCTTCCCCCCCACAATATATATTTCACGGCTACGTTGCGACGGTACCAGCATACCCAGTTGTTGACACCCATTACATCACTCCTGTTTAACAAATCATAAAGCTGTGGTGTTACGGTGGCGGCATAGTATTTCACCGTAACACCACAGCCACTCTAACCATTCATAATACATCTAACTATCCCTTTACAGCACTTCACTCCCTACACATTTCCCCTCGTCCTACTTTCCCAAACGTCAACAACACATCTCATACATCCAGTTCGCTGATTAACCCTTGTACCACGTCTACTGGATGACCTGGCGCCTGGTACGTTCGGGCATTTTTATGCGCGAACTCTTAGTTTTTTTTACTGGCATGCGCACAGGTACTATTTCTTTTTCTTTTAACAAGTACCCAAATCGGGGATTTCGTGCGGAGGTAGTTCGGAGGTAAACAGTCTGTGAAGTACAACACTTGCCACTGTAGCTGTGTATCGCTAATTATAAACCGAATGTGTGAAGACAGTTCATACATATCACTCAAAAATTTTTCAGTACAAACTCAGTTGATTCACGCTCGATTTGCTACTAAACAAACCCATCGGTTTATTTTCTCAACAGTGTGACCCGAAGTGACCGCGGATTTATTGACCTTGTATGAACTTATCCATAGCTATATCCTTACACCGAGAGAAATTATCTAGTCTCGGTGAAACGAACCATGGTCATCTGGTAGAAAATTACTTTTGTATTTTTTGGAACGGAAAACAGTGTTTTTAGAAGCAAACTAACCTGCCGCACATGAGGAAGTCATTATACTAATAATAAAAGGCGAGACCTCTTTTTGCGGCGCAGGCTTATCACTGAGTAGTAAACCGTCCACAAACAATAATATAGGAAGCCTAGTGACCAGTGTAGTACTGTAAGTAGGCTATAGACTAGTCGAGATTACTCGCTTTCAGTTTACTCTGTTTTTGCGGTAACCAATTATGTGAGAAATACCATACTGACATTCGGTTTTTAAAAGTTGTACGCGAACTAAATGCGTTTGTTAGATACTGACAGAGCAGCCCTGAGTCGAACAATCGCCGCCCGAGCTGTCTTCGTCAGCTAGTTTCACAATATCGTGCAATAGGTGTATTAATGTGATTTTTAGGTTTAACCCCGCAAACAATGCCTAAATAGTGTTTTCACTGCTTACAGAAAACTGAAATTTAAAAAAAAAATTTTTTATGAGGGTGACCCTCCCACACACTCCCTATCGAGCTGCCGCTCGGTCTGCGCAGCCTCATGCCTGGCACATACTGTCAACATTGTATATTTTTCCGTTTCCGCCCTTCCCCCCCCCCCCACAATATATATTTCACGGCTACGTTGCGACGGTACCAGCATACCCAGTTGTTGACACCCATTACATCACTCCTGTCTAACAAATCATAAAGCTGTGGTGTTACGGTGGCGGCATAGTATTTCACCGTAACACCACAGCCACTCTAACCATTCATAATACATCTAACTATCCCTTTACAGCACTTCACTCCCTACACATTTCCCCTCGTCCTACTTTCCCAAACGTCAACAACACATCTCATACATCCAGTTCGCTGATTAACCCTTGTACCACGTCTACTGGATTTGATAATATATGATATTGACGTTTCGCCTCTTTATAAACTTATGTTAAGGCACAGACTGTCTACGATCTTATTAAACATCTAATCAATTCAATATGTCCTTTACAAGCTACACATAACCTGTATATAACCATCGGCAGAACTTCGAAGAGAATGTAGTAGTGGTCAGCGTATCATACTATGACCTGACAATGACATCCAAGGAAATATGCTGTGTAATTACAGACATCATAATTTGATAAATAAACAATACCATATATGCTGATCACTCTTGTTCATCTTCCCTAATTGTTGAACGCTATATAAGCAGGCGTTTACTGACAGTAAGTCAGACTGGGAATAGAGCTCCTCCCGAATTATGTCTATTTCATGTTCTTAATAAAGGTCTTATCAAGTATGCTGATCTTCTGTTATCTGTAGTGTTACATATGGCACTGGACTACATAACAATTGATGCGTGATAACTTATTTGACCACTATACATGATTATCTAACTTGGCCATTTACATACATCAGTTGGACTGATTGTATCTCCAATTCACAGCTAGAAACCACAGCTGCTTAATATTAGGGGAGAGAGAGAGAGAAATGGGGTTTAACGTCCACTCGACACAAACTAGGTCATTTCGGGACTAACATGTGGTTTAATTTTATTTACATAATTCGCTTGCGCGTAGGGGTCTTTAGCAGTGGGAGGAAACCGGAGGACCCGGAGAAAACCCATGAGGTTGGACAGGCGACCCTACTCCTTGCCACGTACAACCGGGGATTCGAAACCACGCCAGTCGACTCAATGACAGAATTTATGATACAGCGCGCGCACGCTAACCATTCAGCCATCCAAACCCCCTCTTAATATTAGGTAACACTTCGAAGACCAAAAGTTGCTATATGTGGAAGGATAACTGACGATTAAAAAACATTGACTTTCACTAGATAAGAGAAAAATAGAAACAGTCCGTACATTACCATGTTTTTATTAAGTATAAAATTAATAAAAACAAGGGAATGTATGGACTATCGAGTGGTGGTGTCGATCCCTGGCTGGTGCGTGACAAGGAGTAGAATTGCTAGTCTAAACTATATTCCCATATTCCCCACGGACGATTTTGGTGTATTAACAACAATTCTTGTACGATATTTGGTCGAGCCTCTGTTTCTAGATATATTTGTATACTTTTAGAAATCATCAAATAAAAGCATGCGGATATTCAAGTGTTCAAAACCGACAAATCCCTATTTCTCTTTTGAAAGGCTATAATACCCCTTTCTGACATACGCTACTGCTTAACAAATCAGCGAGGTCTTTGTCACTGTAGTAAGAGCGTGTTGGGACATGGAGAGCGAGAATGGCTACGACCTCACTACGCGGGTTTGGCACCCTATCCGCGTACAGAAATCGTGATGGAAACGAAAGCCTGACGACAGCGTAGTGAGAGTGGGGACAGTGGTCACGCTCTTACTACTCTCATAAAGGCCACTCTACATCCTCTATGCGACCAACCACATCGCGCTACGCCCTCACCACGTTCCTAATTTATTTGTAAAGCCCCTTTCAGACATAACGAAGTCCTCAAGTCTCGCGATTCACTAAAAACATCAACCAAAACACAAGATATGAGATAAGGTGGGATTGCATTTTCTTACATGGTTGAAGTGACTTCAATGCCTCCAGTTTTATATAGAAGACACTCGTTCTCATCACAAGTAACTGTCCACCATCTTGTTCACAAGTTGTCTTGGCGTCTGCCCATATCATTTGTGTATCATATTTCTTTACACACAATACTCCACCAAATATGGCGTCATACCCATCTAGATTACATTTATCTGTAAAAAAATTAAACCATGACAAATCCAAATAGTAGTTGTTTAAGATTAGGCACGGCCGGTACAAAGTGAAATGAAATGGGAGTTTAAGATGGCTAAGTCGGTAGTACGCTGGCTCTCTAGCTCGCTAGCCTGGAGGTCGAGTGTTCGATCCCTACACTGGCCGAGAAAGATCATGAGGACTTTCCGATGTGGCTTCCCCTTGTCTGTGGTGCAGGACGGGGGGCCTGACAAGGATAACTGTCTAGTCGTTCGGATGGGAAAAAAACGAGGTCTCGTGGACATATTGGCGTGCACGTAAAAGATCCATTTGCAGTTGGAATTCGATATAAAAGTATGATATAGTGCCGCTGACAAAATTTCCCTCAATGAACACTGCATGGCGTATCAGAAGATGATACTTGTTGTATTTGATAACAGGATGTCGTGTGGCAGGTGTACTCTTTTCAGAACATCTGGGGGAATCTCAGACACACTCTGACGCTAAACACACATATATTGTATAGATCGAAGGAATTTCAATTTATCATAACGTTTTAAATAATGAACACTAGATGACATATCGAGCAATTAACTCGCCCAAAAGAACTTTACATAATGTTAATTACCGAGGTAAAAAAAACACTAGAATTATCACGAAATATAATCCTACCGATGTCTTTTGAAATTAATTCAGTTTGCCACTAATTAATTTTGTTATTGGGGCCAGAACAGTGATATTTTGAGAACCACCCTGGACTGTTGGTTGTGTTAGTGTCTGATTATCGAGAAAACTAAATAAAATGAGCATTTAATGCCAGTGCTTACCTTTGAGAACATCGTCAACGTAAATAGATGTAATATTTACTGAATGTTTACCAGGCGAGGCTGTGTTTAGTATATAACAGGATCTGTTGTGCCAGTAGAAATATGTACAACCTTCAGTAGAAATACACAATAGTGCACAGGTAACAAGAGGTATGTCGTTGAATTCATAAGAATAAAACGTAGTTACCGAATTCTGTAAATTATATCTCCTGTATAAATCCTGTTTACACGTGATGGTAAGAAAGAAACCAAATATAATACCAAAGGTATATTGTAACGACTTCATATTTAAAACTTTTCTAATAAAGAATGTTGGTACTCAATTGAACTTCTACCTCTTGCAGACTTGAACACTATTAAAGTCACAACTATGTCTTCCAAACGCCGCACGTAATAAACTAAGAAGTATTAAATCCATAAATCTGTGTTATTATGACGGGATAGATAATAAAGGGATAGATAAATACTGGTATATAAGTATCTTCTAAATCGTTTAAATCATCACGTCCAGTACCATATTTATATTATCGGAATGGTTAACGACCAACAAACCCTTAATGATAACATAAAATAGTAGGTATATTGTTGTAGCAGTGTTTGTGTATTCTGTATTTAGTCATAATATGTCGTACACGTAAGGGTCTGGTACTCTCATCGTCTCATATAACAACTTTTCATCTTCAACTGAATTATCAGTGAAATGAAATTCGATCGTTTGTCTGTTATCGCTCGTTACTTCAGTCAGTTATACAGAAGGACAACTCGTTTTTGTCATGTTTGACGTCACTTCCCGTTTCTTCACGTGCTTGTTACACATTTCCCGTAGCAATGATCGCTGTGTTAAAATTATAATTGGGATGTATTTAACGAGCTCTATCACATATTTTATAATGACTGACACCAATAATGTCCTTTAACGAAAACATTACCCGAGAGCATGACATTGAACACACGACATATTGCCATTGTTGTGGGCATCTCACGTGAGAGGGTTGAGCAGATTATCGCCAACTAGCTAGGATTGACAAACGTTTTTACAAGATGGAGTCGTATCAGAAACTGGTTATTTTTCCGACGTCCCATTCCAATCTGCGCCGTTTCGAAGCGATCCTGACAGTATGCACGCGTATTGAACGATTAGCTCCTATACTACTACCGACTATCTACATCTAGCCATACTGGACCTGTAAAATCAACTACCAGCTCAGGTAATTAATACCTGTATATTGCAAAATATCCACATTGTACCTGTCCTATACCGCACCTGTAAAATCAACTATATAATAATACCCATATATTGCAATATATCCAGGCCTAACTAGAACATTCATTTTTGGCTCAAAATTGCATTAGAACATGGTCCTTTGAATTGTGATTTTAATCAATATATAACCAATGAAATATTGAAGTTAATATATACTTATACAGATTCTATTTATCTTGATATAAATGCCAGTGGCGCGTATTTTGGTTTTATTATTAATATAAACAAATTCTTGTAATTGTCATGAAATATCAATACAAAACTTCAAGGCTGGCCAATAGGCGCGTAAAAGAGATAAACTTGTGTTTAGATTGAACATACTAATCTGTTTACAGAGAATTACAATACTTGAATAAACTGACCAAAGTATGCTTGTATATTATTTCACAGGGTTTAACGAATGCTGGATCGTTTTCAGACCGTTTAAGATCGATAGTAGGGGTGTTTATTGGTGCAGCTGGGATAATGACTTATTTTGAAGTCTAAATGTATAATTTTCAGTTCTTCTTTCAAATGATATCTTATTTGAAACAAATTATATGAGACAGATTGTTTCTATACAAAAAGCTTGAATAGTAGATGTCATGCCTTCGTTTTTATTTAATGCCAGTTAATAGCGTTTTATGTTTTAATACTGTGGTCTTTGCGAGCATATTGTATCTTTAACTAATTATTTGGTTCACGCGTTCTATAGAGTCAAATCACTGTAATTCAATTCCCTTATTTTTACGACTACTTGGCTGGCAGCTAAGTTGCCAAGAAAATTACGACGCGTCGTAAACAAATGTTTACGGTCTTCTCGTAATTTTAACAGTAATTTTTTATGCCAGCCAATTAGTCGTAACATTTACGACACACTGTAATCTATTGGTTACAGATTTGTCATAATCGTTATGCCAAACCCTTGGCAACTAGCTGCCTATCATTTAGTCCTAATCTGAAAATTTGTAAGAAAATTCTGTCCACATTTTCAAGTTAGGACTAAATGATTTGGGGTTTTTTTGTTTTTTTTTTTTAAATATATTGTCTTAAGTACTTTTATAGAGGGTTTATCATCTCATGACCCCTGTAATTCACACCAAATATCAAAATGATCTGTTAAAAATTGTAGCATCTATCCCGTTAACAAGTCCATAGTGGACTGACGGACGGGCAAGAGTCACCACAAAGTACGTCCATACTGAAATGTGGGCGTATAGAAACAGATAATGAATGAAATAAGAGTTTTATTTGATATTGATAAACATCTGATGATAAATACAGGTAGATAATTTAATAGTAGATATATCACTATTTTAATGAGATGTCAAGTTACTATCATTTAATGACGTGATGATTTTTACAGTTTATGTTAGAATTAAAATTCGGTTTAGATATAGTTGAGACCAGGGGTAATTAAAACAAACCCAGGAAATTTATACCCGATTGTGGCCCGATTTAATGATTTCAAAAGCCTGGCTTTGCTCTGGAGTTAATACCAGGTACATTTTTTCATTTTCACCTGACAAACACACGTCGGTTTGTTTTGATGCAGTCTAGATCACCCAGTCCCAAAGCAAATCTCGTATATGTTAATAAAGGAAGTGACTGGATGATCTAGACTTACTAAGGGAATTCTTTTGACCTGATTTCGTGTTATTTCCGGTCTGTTCAAGTTGCTTTTCGGATTTATAAATTAATCAGCAAAATTAGGAATCAAACCATTATAGAATAGCAGCTGTATCTGTTTTCTAAACATAATAAAAAAATCATTCATTTAGGTTGCTATCCCGCCAACTACAACATTTCACCTCATACATCTATTCAATATGCATTCTCATATAATGGTATATCTTCAAGGTCGAAACAGGCTTTTCTATACGTCATTCTCCACCCAAGTTAAATTACAACCTAAACTGTAATAACACCAACCTTAGGTTTACTCTATCCCAACGTAAACACATTTTAGTATTTCAAGATGAACGATAGTTTATTTTCGTCTTATCAAATATCATAAACGCATGTTGATATATTTACGAAATCATTTACAGTTTCCTATTTTAAATTCAAGACAATTCAAATGAAATGAAAACAGTATTTCATAAAACAAATCATTATTTGACCTTCTGGTGTGTTACAATTCAGATAATCTAAACACAATCTGTAAATAATATAACGGAATTATTTTTAGGCCAATTGCTGTTAAAATAAACACAGACAGGTCGATATGAAGGTGTGAAATCGCTAATGTAAATTGTAAACAGTCATAATTTTAAAAAGATGGCCACTCGAAGGATTAGTGTGAATAATAGAATTGAAATGAAATGGGATTTTACGTCCTACTTTTCTGCACTTACCAGAAGGGCATACGCAATAGTACGCGCCAGCAGTTCCACTACCGGCTACTATTATTTCGAATTCGAAATGTAAAAGCTTACTTTTATGTACACGCCAATGTGTTTAAGGGAATTCCCCACCCAAATGACTCAACACTCGTTGTTGCCAAGCTCCAAGCCCTATATCATTGGTAACTTTCTCGGCCAACACCGTGATCGAACCCGGGACTTATGGCTTAGGACGCCAGTACATTACTCACTAAGCCACCGCGGTCCCATAGGAAAGTGGGTATTTTTTAACGCTTGCAAGTTCGATAAAAAAATAAGAAAATATTATATCTGAATAGCGATATGGTTTTTCTTTGTGATCCTATAGATAAGCACCGCAAAGCTATAAAAAAAAACTCTTTGGCGAGTTGAACAGTTTCAAGACATTGCAGAAAAACGACAAAACTTCCAGCCTTAATTTTTTTTAAAATTATGGACAGATGACAGACAAGTAGGCAGTAAATGTATAAAAAGAAACAGACAATTCTTCGTTCTTTTTTTTTATAGTTTTACTAAAACTAAATGTAAATTGAAACGAACAATTAATTATACTTGTGTTTTGTATTTTTACAACCAATGTACCAAATAATACGACTTTCATTTTATATTATTACTATCAGTATATGCAAATAGAGACACTAATATACATTCATTTTATAGTTTTTCTATAGACATTCTAATACATTTAATACAGGCATTTCTACTTTCAATTTTTCTAGCACTATAACAAACCGAAACAGGCAATTTTACTTTCATTTTATAGTTTTACTAAATGTAATAATGTAAATATAGACAACTAATACGACTTTCATTATATAGTTTTACTACACTACCAGTTATAGAGTCAATTAACACACATTAGATTGTATATATGCAAACAGAAACAGCCATTTTTTCGTTTTATAATTTTACGACCTGTACTACAGGATTACAAAAGAATTATTCAATTCATATTAACGGCTTCTCACAAAGGAAATGACGTGGTTTGTCACATCCGTTATCGTTCAACTCTAGACTTGTGAATTGTAAACAATCTTCGTTACCATTGGCGTTATCTGGTTGAGTTTCCCATACCTTGGTGGGTACATCTGATCCATCTATCCATGTAAACTCGCCTTCTGTAGTTAGATCATTGCCTCCAATCCAATATTCCCTGTCTACAGCTAATATAAAAGTACATAATTTAATGGATAAATTCGTTATAACAGAGCAACAAATAATACTACTTTTTTGTACTGGATAGTATTGCAGTACTTAACTGGACATACAATTCGGCAAAGAGAGAGATAGAGAATTGGGGTTTAACGTCCACTCGACACAAACTAGGTCATTTCGGGACTAATGTATGGTTTAATTTTATTTCAATAATTCGCTTGCGCGTAGGGGTCTTTATCAGTAGGAGGACACGGAGAAAACCCACGAGGTTGGACAGGCGACCCTACTCCTTGTCACATACAACCGGGGATTCGAAACCACGCCAGTTGACTCAATGACGGGCCT